CGCTCACACCGATGACTTATCCACGTCATCATTTACCCAGAATGCTTTGTGTGTAAATAAAATGGCTCTGTCCGTGTTAAAATATATTTTTAAAAATTGTAAAAACTCAACAGCCTACAGTATTTTTACAGTCTTTATTTTGCTGTTAAAATATATGTTTATCAAATAAAGTCTAATGTTACAACTAATCAGGGATCCCTTTAATGTGGTGTGAAACTAAAGCAAGTTTCTATATGTATTTTTGAATAAAGAAACTTGTAAAAACTGTTCCAGAACTTCAAAAACATATTTGCTTTTGAAGTCTAGTGTTTGTCTCAGAACTGAAAACCTCCTCCACCCAAACACCACCCTGCAGTGCTAGATATGGTATCTCTACTTCCTGCGCAGACAATAAAATTACAAGAAAAAAAAGTAGAACTTAAGATAGAGAGATGGTTGTACTACTTATTGTTAAACTGATAGGAATTTATGGTCYAATTGGTCCAATGGATGACTTAAAAAAGCTCATTAACTTTATTGTTTGTTTTATGGGTTTATCATTGAAAAAAAGCTTTTCTGGATTTGATCATTTGATTTTTTTAATTTTTAAGCAATCAYGCAACAAAGCAATACTACTTTTTCATAGGTTATGACATGGCAACATCTGAATTGAACGTCACTGTCTGTGTCAAATTTATTCATACAACACATTAAAAACAACAAAAGCTGGCCTGAAATWATTTTAATTAATGTAATTTTAATTTTTAAGTAAAATGTATATAAAGGAAAGATGACCTGTTCTGAAAGAAAGAGACCCAAATCAATGTATCTTCAGTTCCACATACAAGGTTTAAAATAAGAGGGATGTACATAACTACAAAGCAAGCAAGATGTAGCTGTACTTTTCACTTTCTCCACTTAAGTCAGGAAACAAAACAAATTTGAGCTGCACAAGAAATGCTGATGGTAGAAGATTAGCTGCCAAAAAAGTTAAGGCTGTAAATTAGACCACTTGCTAAATGCATCATGTCACCATAAAATTCTGGCTAGACAGAAAATAATGCATTTGTACCGTGTCTGAATCATACCTCTTATTATATTTTCTGAAAATATGTTTCYTCACTATTGTCCCCAGAAAGTAAATGAGAGATTGTTTTCTTTCCTGTATACACACAGACAAAACCTTCTATTTGCACTCAACATAAACCTCAAAAAAGAAATGATCTCAGCCATAAAGAGGAACTAGAGTGCAGCCATGACTTGGTACTGCAGAACTCTGTACTCCCTGTCTRTTTTCACCACAGATAATAAGTGAATTATCCTACAAGACTATAACAATAGTTTTGCRTAAAAACATGACAGAACACGTGACAAAGGCTGTATCTGTTGGAGATCAACAATAGTTCATGGGCGTGGACGTTGTTAAGGTGCTGTGCAGCAACAACCGATTGCTCTCAGTTTGTAGTAAGTCCCCACCTTAAAAGGTATAAGTCTGATTTGTATTGTTCTTCCTGTCTGTTCTTGAAGTCAGCTGTGCAACTTGGACTGTAGCGAAAAACTTAATGATAAAATTTAAAGTGAACCACTTTCATACTTTCCACAAGAGTGACTATGCAAAAAAGAAATCAGAGTAAGATGCTAGTAAATAGATGCAAATTAGTCCAGTAAACCAGCTGAAAACAAAAGAACAGTACATCCAGTAATAGTGTTAATTGCAGCTGATGTGTCAAGTACTCTCAAAGTACAAAGCCCACTGATTTGAACCCATGTACACTAAGTAGTGGTCTCATTTACAAATGCACTCTTGTCAAAGAGCAGTTACAACATGCTGTTTTCATTGTGCTTATGACTGAATTTGCAGGCCACCTTAAAATCTGATCTTTACAATGCGGGCTGGACTGTGTAAACCTGCTCAACAAGTTGCTTCAAAGCGRTCTTGTTTTGCCTCTTTATCAGCATTCACTGAAGTGAGAACAAATGAACCAACTTTTTCAGGATGACAGACGTTTCTCTGTTGTTTGGAAGTGCTGCGACTTCAAGCCTTCACACTTCAAACAACGAGGATGGGTCGAGTTTATTTCCCTAAAAACTGAAATTTAACCAAAAACAGAAACAAAAGAGGAAGACAGTATTAGGAAGTTCTGTCTGTTGCAGATGTTATGTAGAGGAGAGACTGCCAACTCTATAATGAAGAAACAGTCTGCGTTTAATGATTAACTAAGAGCAGCATTTTAAAAATTATCCAGGGAATAAAGAGAAAGTAAAAAAAAGATGGTGTTTATTTTTTTTATCTACAGTACTTTTCCACATTAAGACGTTTTGAAAAAAATAACCTGTAAAAGTTTTTATAACAGCTGATGTGACAAAATTATATTCCTACATCCAGTGGTTACAACTGTTGGGAAATTTATACCTTGCAGTCCTTTTAGGGTGTGGCACGGAATAATAAACAAAAGGCACTGGGAAAAGCAAGATAAGAATTATTATTTAGATTACAAAGGAATAACAGAACATACTGATATGTCACTAAATCTGTGTGGTTAATCCGAGCTAACGCTATTATAAAGCGATTTTGCCATCTGGTTTACGGAAAGTGCGTAACACAGAACCTTACGTACGTTTAATCACTTAGCTTAGTTTATGGCAAATGTCAGGTCAAAGTACCGGGCGTAACAAGTTCAAATACACATTTGGAAAATGTAGGGCTACACATATAAGCATAAAACGAACAGGCAATCTTTATTAAATAATCTCGCTTACCTGCCAACAAAATTTTCCAGGACAGAGCTTTTTCCGGCGCTTTGTCCACCGACCACAGCGATCTGAGGAAGGTCTAAATTGACACTCTGACCAATAGAGCTGAAAGCGTCTTGAAGCTTGTTGATCAGGGGGATGAGATCTTCCATACCCCGGTTCCCCATGGCTTCGTTAGCTCGGAGAGCCCTTCACAACGCAGACCGGAGGCTTACCGTGCTAACTAGCTGGGTAATGTTCGCTTAGCAGCGAGATGATCTCGAGTTACTGGGTTCGGTCGCTTTGCTCAAATATTTATTTTCACTTTACAGCGGCTACCCGAATGACAGCTTATGGTAACATAATTTCGTGTTCTTTCAAGCGTATTAGTTAAGCCCCAAGTCAGTCGAAACGGACGGAAAACTCGAAAAACAAAAACTTCCTCTACACAAACGCCATCCGGTTTTGTGAGACCACATCCGATCGAAACCGGTGACCGAAGATCCGCCCCGTTTTTCTCCTCCATACAAACTAAGTTGTCTATTGGCTCATTTGTTTGCCACTCCACCAAACCACGTTCTGATTGGATAAATGAAAAAGGCACGTTCGTCGTTGAACACAAGGAATCGCTCTTCAATTGGTCAATCCAAATGTCAGCCTTTGCTTACGTCACACAGTCGGTAAAAGATGGCTGCCACCATTGAATGTGGGGAAGGTATTAGTACTTCAGACAGCGCGATGTATGTAAAAAAAGTTTTGTCTGCGGCTTCCCCTCTTACTCTTAAGATTATTGCTGAATGTCCAGTGACCAAAGCAAGAGCCTGTGATTTAATACTGCCTCACAGCACCGTCAGCACGCCCGTTTTTATGCCCGTCGGTACACAGGGGACAGTGAAGGGGATCACTGCTGATCAGCTGGGAAGTCTTGGATGTGAAATTTGTCTGGGGAACACGTATCACCTCGGCATGAGGCCGGTAGGCAATTCTGCAATGTTGATCTTTTTATCTGAATTAAGTTTGTGGGAATTTGAACCATGCTAATGGAAATGATTGCTCTTAGTGGAATGGGGGCTTCAAACTTTCATTATCCTCATATTTTGTTGAAACATCTTCCGATTTTTATCTGTGAGCAATGTGTAAACTTTTGTTGTAATTTTGTGCTTTATAAATAAACTGAAATAAATGTATTTTCCTGTTAACTCCACTGTCTTCAGGGCCCTGATTTGATAGAGAGAGCCAATGGTTTACATAGTTTTATGAACTGGAAGAGAAGCATTTTAACAGTGAGTACAGTTTCAACTTCCTGACGTTAGCCGCACAGTACATTTCTATTCATAGTCAAAGGGAGAAATGGATGAAATTTGTTCTGAAAGATTTTGTTTGTTGTTTTCTCTTTTTTTCAAGGACAGTGGAGGTTTTCAGATGGTGTCTCTTGTTGAACTCTCAGAGGTCACAGAAGAAGGAGTCAAATTCCAGTCTCCCTACGATGGCAAAGAGATCTTATTAAGTCCCGAAAAGTCCATCAGTATCCAGAACAGTTTAGGTCAGCTGAGAGTAAATTATTTATTCATTGGTTTTAAGAGCAAAATCCTTTCCCCAAACGGTCACAYGTCTTAATTTCTTTATCCGTTTTCAGGGTCCGACATTATGATGCAGCTGGACGATGTTGTCAGCAGCACTGTGAAGGGACCACGGGTGGAGGAAGCCATGCACAGATCCATTCGTTGGCTGGATCGCTGCATAGCGGCCAATAAAAACCCAGAAAAACAAAATCTTTTTGCTATCATTCAGGGGGGACTGGATGCAGAGCTGCGCAAGGCCTGTCTGAATGGTAAAACCTTTTAAACATTGCTAAGTGGCTGGATTGTCTTACCTTTCTTTGCATCTGAATATTTGCAATAATTATTTAGCATTACTCAGCAGTTAGATCATATTCAAGGGTAGACTGAGTACAGGAAACTTTGTCAGGAAGTCCATTTATTATATTTACTGTAAAAATTTGAAAGGAGAAAGCACAGAGGTTTTACTAGACTTTAGCAAGAACTACTCACATTCATTTTAAAGTGCGTGTGACATGCTTATCCTTCAAATACAAAAAGTCAAAGAAAACATCTTTATTCTTAAGAAAATCAGCATAATGCACATGATTTTACACATTTTTGGCTCATAACTGGCCTATTTTCTTTTGGATTCGGCTCAGACAAAGTGAAACAGGAAGTGACATCAAAGGGGTACTCTAATAAAATTGACTCTCTGGTGTTTGTTTATTAAAACAATATTATTTAAACTTTAACTCTTCTTCGTCTCTGATAGAAATGCAAAATAATCTAAAGAAACATCAGATTCTTCTTTACAGTCTGGGTTGTTGGCTATTGTAGCAACGCTCTGTTTTCATGCAGACATTCCCCTTTGACATCACTTCCTGTTTCTTCACACGCAAATATCTCAACAACCRTTCATCTCAGCGGTGTGAAATTTGTTTTGCAATATTTTATCAATGTTTTCTTTCCAAAAATGCATTCATGTTTATTACAAAAAAAATCGATGTCACASACTCTTTAATGTCAAGTGTAGAACAGCTTTAGATGATGTTTCCTCCTCTGCAGAAATGACTCAGCGGGATGTTCCGGGTTTTGCCATTGGAGGTTTGAGTGGAGGAGAGGAGAAAGACGACTTCTGGAAGATGGTCACGCTGAGCACCAACCACCTGCCGCGAGAAAAACCTCGCTACCTGATGGGTGTTGGGTATGTTTGCAATAAAATTCTATAAAAATATATATATTTGCTATAGTTCCGATGATCAACAGCATGTGTTGTCCTCACATACTGAAGGTACTCTGTGGACTTGGTGGTGTGTGTTGCTTTAGGATGCGACATGTTCGACTGTGTCTTCCCAACACGCACTGCAGTAGGTTTTTTTATTGTATTTTTTTTATCGCATCTTCAGAAATCACTTCTAAATTCTGATTTAGGACAAAAAATTGTTATGTGTCTTTAACTGTGGTCGTCGTTTTCAGAGGCTTGGCTCTGCCTTGGTGCCTTGGGGATCTCTCCAGATGAAACATAAACAGTATGCCAAGGATTTTCAACCCATAGATCCAGACTGTCAGTGTCCAACCTGCAAGMGGTAAATATAGACTAAAAAAGAGTAATTGAATTTTATTCATTTTAGTAGTTAATTTAATTTAACTCGTCTCAAAACATTCCAAGAATGGGTCTCTGCAATACATAGGGGGAGTGTCTTGGCTGTGGGGGCGGAGTTTGGCAAAACCATGATTAAATTAAAAGATAAGTAATGGTAATAGTAAAATCATTGTGAACATGTATATATAATTTATTGACTGTCTATTTATAGTTCAAAACAGAACACCGTCACAAATAAAAATTATCGTGAACAGAATTTGTGGAGCTAGCACATTCCTGTCTTGAGTTACAAATAAAATTAATGTTCATATTCAAAATTATAGGTGCTTTCTGGTCCGGTATTCATCAAACCGAATTGTTATTGCTTCTTCAAACCGAACTCAAAATAGTTAATCGGACAGATCGTGTTTTTAACAGACTCCTCCCACAGAAGTCAAACAGACGGATCATGCATTTTCCGAAACTCCGCCCACACACCAAGAACCTCCCACTCAATGACTGCAGAGAACCCCTTCTCGAACACTCTGCCATGCGAATAATCAGTGTTTTTATATTTTTCAGACACAGTCGGGCTTACCTGCACGCTTTGTTTAAGAGTGACACCGCCGCCATGCATCACATCACCATCCACAACATTGTTTACCAGGTCAGTCTCAGATTAATCTGGATTTTTGAAAACAAGCAGAAGACACTCTGTAATCTGAACGTGCACGTCAGAAAATAATTCACATCCAGGGAGTTATAGTGATCAAATTCTCTGCTTTCCTTCTGTTTATGAAACCGTGTCTCCGTCCAGCTCAGCCTGATGCGCTCGGTGAGGCAGAGCATCATGGAAGGCAGATTCCCAGAGTTCATCCGGACGTTCATGAAGCGAATGTTTCCCTCTCGGGATCAGTACCCCAGCTGGGCTGTGGAGGCTCTGGCTTCTGTTGGCGTGACTTTGGATTAGAACTTTGAAGTCAGCAGTGGAGAAAACTATCAAACAAAGACGAACACACACACAACAAAAGAACAAAACTATTTTATATTTTTTTAAATGATCCTTTGGTCCTCCATTTTATCAATATGAAATTTAATTGGCTTTAAATGTGATTTTGAAATGCATGAACTGTGCCCACCCACCTGAAATTTAACTTTCCTGTCAAACTTTTTTAGCTTTTYCCCCCTTAAATATTAAGAAAGATAAATAAGTTTTGAATTGGGCACTTTAAGCTTTGGTCTTTGAATGTAAATCTGAATATTAGTTGTTGTTTTACTCAAAGTGATAAATGGTCCCAGCCTGTTGCAGGTTGAAGGTTTGCTTCATGATGACCACCAGAGGGCGAAACAGATGCAGGCTGTCTGATCGGTTTGTCTCAGTTTTCTAATAAAGTATAAAACTAAACTCAAAATAAAACAATTAGACCGGACAGGTTGGATTGCATGTAGGAGCGTACAATCATAATCTCATCAAATCACCCACAGTCCAAACTGCATCTAATTAAATCGTATCAAATTATTATTTTTTTGTAATCGCGAGTCGTCTCGTTGGTTTAACAGGCAATTAACATTTTGGATTGTGTGAGCGTTCTGTTCCGTTTGGAGCTGACAGAAGTGTGGATTTGTTAAAGCTGGCTTGTGGGGGATTAATATTAATTAATGAAAGGTTAATTTGAATAGCATCTGTTGTCTGGGACCTCCAGTCAACAGACCTCCTGAGCACCACATTTGAATTTCATTCCTCCTGTTATGACCAGAGGCTCTGTCAGAATAATGCTGCTTTCTGTTCTGAGTGGCAGATAAACTAATATGWAGCTCAAAAACAAAAGTGCAGCGCTGCATTAGAAATTGTAGGTTTGTTGCATAATGACAGCAGTTTGCAAATCTAAGACAGGCTGTGAACATGACAGATTTATGTAGTGACCTTTACAGGGGTGCCACCAAGTGGGGCTGGAGGGGGTCAATTACCACTCCAATMAAACTGTGGACTTTCTTTTACAACGATTCAATATTACTTGAAATCTGTTTGACTCTCTAAGGAAGGCGTGTAAGCTCAAATGCATGTGGGTAGATTTTACTGTTCCAGAAGATTATGAAAAAAAAAGCTATTTTACACAATTTTAAGAAGAGTCATCGAGCCTTTTGAATTTGAGCTCATCTTATGTTGAAAACAAAAAGTTAACCCATTCAGTATACTGAGAAGTCACGTTCAGAATATATGTGCCGGATTCTACAACCATATCAAATTTTTAGCTCAATATTTCTATAATGTATATTTATAGTTATATTTATATATTTAGATGAGTTGGTTGTGATGGTCATCTTGAATTCCTCCAGACGTTAATCTGCTCTAGATGTACATCATWTGATTCTTTTCTGAAAGCTTTAATAAAAACCATCCATTGATTCATGATATTTTGCTAACAGGCAGGTTTAGTTCGAAATAGTTAATGGCAAAAATGTTACTATTCTGTAAGCACTCATAATGTGTGTTGAGGATCAGCCTCAGCTACCAAACCAAGTTTGGAAGATTTTTGAGTAGGCTAATGCCGATTGGCGGCCATCATGAATCAGGTTGAACTCAATACAGTTCAGTTTGTGTAGCCCAATCTCATGGCACTGTACACAAAAAACAATCTAAGGAAACCAGCAGATTGTGTTGTCACAGTCTCCCATCTTGCAATGTTGTATAAAGTACCACAAAGTGATACATGAGTAAAGGTACAAGTATCTTACCAAAGGGCCGGTTGTTTAATTGTATTTGTGACATTTCATGTTTAGCTTCAACTAAACATGAAACAAACAATAACTAAGCTCTATGTGGTATTATGTGCATAGAAGCAACATTTTATCAGTGTTGTATAAAGTACCACAAAGTGATACTTGAGTAAAGTAAAAGCTTTGTACTGAAGTATTAGAAGTAAAAGTATTGATTTAAAATGAGCAGTTAGATTTTCTGTAATGACATTGGAGGTGACCTCCCCAAAAATGCAGAAATAACTGTTGTATTGAAATAATTTATGTTAAATTTAGGATGAATTAGTCAGTTTATAGACATACTGTATATCAAGGCTGCCCAAATGGATGGATGGGTGGGCTGTGGGCCAAATGCAATAATATAATTAATGAAATACAAATACTTCTTAAGTACAGTTCTTTTATTTTAATGATTATGTCCTGCTGGAGTGTGACATGATTTGTTTGTGTACAAACTAATACGCATCAGAATTTTATATATTTATTTATGATAATATATTTATACTTCTCATTCAACCGCAATTAAATTCACTATCTGGAGGCACAATTTATAT